TGGCAGCCACCTTCGCCTCACTCGGGCCCTTCCTTTCGCTCACCCTCGTGCTCCTGCTTCCCTCTCCCCCCCCCCCCCCCCCCCCCCCCCCTCCAGCCTACTTGTTCCACCATAAGCATGGCGAGCAGCATTGGGCGCACCTTTGCGTGCGCGAGCGCGTGTCTGCCGGCAGACCGACCAGCAGCGACTCGACCACCCATTCGCCCGAGTAAATCGAATGCCGGGGGAAGAAAAGCTGCATTTCCGCATGCAGCACAGCCTCCCGGGTGACCAGGTGTCTGCAAGGATCCTCCAGAGGCTGGTCACCAGGAGGACCATCGGTCGCCGAACCAAGAGCCAGCTCGTCCAAATCGCAGCCGATCAAAACGTAATCCCGCTGGTGCCGTGAAAGGACGGCCCGATCGCCGGGGATCAGGCCCCAGTGCTCGTCACCCAAGTGCCGATAAAGGCGCTTCATGAGATCCTCCTCCCAGACAACCACCGTTGCTTCGCTGATGGCCCCGACCGCCCGGTGTAACTGGAAGAAGGTGGGATAGCACCGGGGAGAGACAGCGATGACACAGCTCGAGCTGAATACCGCCGACGTTTGGTTTCGGTTGTCGAAAGCCACATCCGACAAGGCGGCCAGCGACACATTCAGGTGTCGCTCGACCGCCGCATCGCGCATCAAATAGGGTTCCGGATCTGCAAAGGGGAGGGCCAAATGGCAGGAAGCACATGTCAGGGGGGGGGGAGGGCCACAATAGAAAGTCCCAAACAAACAAGAGCAAGCAAAGAGGCCCGACCCTGCAGCAAAGTAGCACGCCCACCCCGCATGCACCAGTGACGCACAGATCACCTCGCCCTTTTCCAGCGAGTCGACAATCCACCGCGGCGAGACGATGAACTCCGCGCGGGTGAAGGCCCCAGCAAAGCGGCAAGATATGCGCGCCCGGTCGGCCACCAAAACCCGGCACATCCGCGGGTCGGACATGTGGTTGGCCTGGAAGCGCCGGCAAAAGGCATCCACCAAGCTCGCCAGCGGCCCCTCATCCTCGTCATCCTGATCGCTGGCCATGACAGTGGTCCAATCGGCCCGAGCGATGACCGGCCACACCTGGGAGAAGCCCATCTCCTGCAGGAGGCCCACCTCGCTGGCAAGGGTTTCCGCCAGATCCTTCGCCTCGCCCTTGGCAAGTGCCTGTGCCAGCAGCTGGCCCAACTCCAAGGAGGGGAACAGGCGCTCCAGCGTGCGGCATGCCTGCTTCGTGTGGCGGATGATCTCCGCCCGGCAGCCCGCCGGCAGGGGAAGTTCATTGACCGCTGTGAAGAGGATCGGCTGGCCGCCGGATGCCAGCAAGTGGTTGCAGTGGACGCTCTGCCCTCGCCGGCGAGCCGACAACCGAGCCAAGCCCCGATCCACCACGGACGGAGAGGTGCCCTCTTCGGATCCCTGGTCCGAGTCATCGGGTCCCCAGCCGGAGTCGCTGGATCCCGGCGCGTTTGCCTGGCGGAAGGCATTCAAAAGCGGGGCCGCCCACGCCGGGGCCGGGGCCACAGGCCCGCCATCGCCCGGAAGCAAGATATCCAACGACCCGGCCGACATGCCGTGCATGCACTTCAGTCGCGAAAGGGTACGGGCGTGCAGCTGCTCGGCCCATGTGCGCACAGCCGTGTCACCTGGACTCGCCGCAGCCATGTCGGCCACCTGGGCAGACAGATGGTCCAGGAAACGCAGCAGCAGACGCAGCGCCAGCCGGTCCCGAATGTCCGCCCAGGTGGCCATCCACACAGCGTAATGGAAGGATGTCGGCCGGGCAAAGTCGGGCCCCAGTGGGGGCGAAGGGGGCCTGCCAGCAGCCTTGTCCCCGGCCATGTCCCCACTCGGCTCCTGGGCAGGGCGCTTTTTCGGGGTGTCCGGGCGTGACCGCTTTCGTAGCGGGCTGGCCGGATCCTCAAGCTGGTCTGGCTGGTCTGGCTGGTCTGGCTGGTCTGGCTGGTCTGGCTGGTCTGGGCGTTCCGGGCGTTCTGGCCGGTCCGGTCGGACTGACTGATCTGGCTCATCATGGTCCTCGAGCTGATCGAGGGGGCGTTCCCGGCGGCGACGCCGCCAGTGAAGGATCCGTCTCAAAGCCGAAGATGACTGCAGGTAGCTGTCCCACTCGGAGGTGCCGTCTGAGGCTCCGGAGCGCGAGCTAGCCGCGGAGGTGTGCGATGACGAAGGCCCGGCCAGCAGCGGGGGAGGTGCCTGCTGCTGAGAGGAGGGCCATCGCCGAAGGGCATGTAGACTCATGGTCCGGTTGGCCGAATCCACTGCGGCACCCGCATCAAGCCCGGCAGAGTGTTGGCCCGGCTGAGCGCCATGCATGGGGGGCGGATTTGCATTCATGGAGCCGCCAGCATCGGCCGGGTGGCTGGTGGCCGCCGGGCCATGAGGCGAGGCCGCTTGCCCCGATCTCCCTTGGATCGCGTGTAGCGCCTGAGCCGAGGCAGAGACAGCAAGCATCCCCACATGCTCGGTATATCGAAGGAGCATCGAGGACCGGGGCGAGCCCGACCCGGGAGGCCGGCGGGGCGAGAGGTCGCGCTCGACGCCTGGCACGGAGAAGGCCTTCTTTCGTGGGACAGATTCCGGCGAGGCTGGTGGAGGGGCCGGGGAGGGGAGGCCGACCGGTCCGGGCGCCGGAGTGGTCTTTGACCCAGCCAGGAGGCCGGGAAGAGGGCCGGCCGGGGGTTCGGCCAAAGGAATGGCCGAGGGATCTGCCATGTCGGCCTGGCCGGGATCTCGGTCCGCCAAAAGGGGCGCAGCGTGGGCTCGCACGGTGGCCGGCAGCATGCGAGTATCGGCAAGGAGGGACGCGAGGCCGGTGTGCTGCTGAAGGATGCCACGACAGAGGGCGGACAGCTGGGTGACTGAAGAGTTGAAGCTCCGCAATTGGGTCGGCGTCGGATTGGCCCAGGTCTTTGACGTGTCCTTTATGGTGCGGAACTTGAAAGCCCTCAGCAGGAAGGGCAGCACACTGGACTGGTCGATGGTGACTTGGTTGCGCTTCAGGGACATGCACGCATTGTGAAGCCAAGGCAGCGTCAGGACGGCGGAGCACCTCGCGCACGATGTGTAATCCAATGCCAGCGGGACAGGGGGAAAGGAGGCAGTGGGGCCCGCCTCGCGCGGGCGATCCACCACCACGCGGAAGCCCCCTGGAGCGCGGAGGCCCAACAGCGAGGACTGATGCAGCAGGAGACACGCCTGGCCGACGGCCTTGAGTAAGTCCCGCTCCGCGGGCGTCATGCTGCCAGATGACCGGAGGTCCACCGACAGGGAGATGGCCGGCGAGTAGTATGCCACGCGGCCCTCGGCCCAGGGGGCCAGCACCCAGTGGCTGACCCGGCCAAAGGCCGGCTGCTGGTTGTCACCCGCGTTGAGGGCAGCAACTGCTTGGGCCCAGGCGCCTTGGATGCAGGGGCAAGCCTCCGGCATGGAAGTATGCGTGGCTGTCCAAAAAGCGCCCCGAGGGCTCCCGTGCACCATGCTGCCAGCCAATTCCGCGTGCCGACGAGTCCAAACCAGGCCGCTGCGCGGATCCACCGGAGCCCCGGCCGCCTCAACTGCCGCCAATAGCCACGACAGCCGGATGAACTTAACCGGGGGAAGGGTCATGCTCTTTGGGTCCCAGGCGGGTTGGCCCTCGGCATGAGGGGGCTTCGGCTCGAGTGGACTCAGGCCGAAGGGCTCCCGGTCTAGCCGTGCCTGGCCGAGAAAGCTGACATACTTCACGACCGAGTCGCGCCAGGTGGAGTATACATCCGGATCCAGGCAAGATTCACGAAGGGACCCGGTCAAATCCGGGGACTTGAGCGCCCGGAGCGCCGAGCGCACATCCCCCCCGGCAAGCAGGCGATGGGTGGCAAAATGCCGGCAGAGGGCCAGATCACACGTCTCCCGGGCCTGCTGCTCATCCGCGTGAGAAGTGCTCTCTCCATTGTCCATGTCCGACTCGGCCAGATCAGGCAAGTCGCGGTGAATGAGCGTTCCACCGAAGGAGGCCAGCCACCGGCGAAGGCGACCAAGTCGCAGAAAGGGCTCAAGTTCCTGAGGTCGAAGGGTCAGTGATATGTCGCGTGGCAGGCAGGCGTCGAAAAAGGGCGCGGGGTAGGGGGGGGGGGAAGGAGGGGCTGTGAAAGGCCGGTGGCGTACATGTTCAATCTCCACAAAAACACCTGACAGTGGAAACTTGGTGAGATCCGCGGCGAAGTGCGAATGGCTAAAATGTGTGTCAGCATGTGGATGAAGGCACGAAAGGGGGCGAAGAGTGTGCGTATGCGTGTGTGTGTGTGGGGGGGGGGGGGAGAGTCAGAGGGGGAGCAAATAAAGGGAAGGCCCGAGCAGATTGCGCATGAAGCATACCACAGGCGTGACCAGCTCAAGTAGCAGTGGTAGATCCAAAGGTGCTGCGCAAGGGGAGATTAGTGGTGATATAGCCATATGGAGGAGGAGCACAGGGAAGGGAGAGCAAATGGGAAAGGCAGAGAAGTAGCGGAGGGGGGG